GGGGGCCTCGGCCTCTGGGGCAGGGTGAGAGGAGCCCCTGGCAATGACCCACGTCCCCCCAGCAAGGCTTTTGTCCTCATCAGCTTCTCCATGGGTAAGGCAAGGGGAGTCAAAGCAGGGTGCTGCTGACGGGGACTGACAAAGGCAGAACATGGAAACCCACAGGCTACAGGAGCTGCCCCCAGCATGGGGCAAAGGCTTGTTCAGAGCCCAGGGAGCAGAGCCTGTGGCCAGGGGTCTGCAGACACTGCAGAAATGTTTTTGGGTTCCTCCCTTTGCTCTTGGACAGAAATCATCTATTAGTGTTAGGACCCAGGAGCTAGTAGGGGACATCTGTGGGACCTGCAGGGCAACAAAGGGAAACTGAGGCAAAGTGGAGAAACTATCACAAGGACTGCCTGATTTGCACCCAAAAAAAATACAGACAAAACTAAACCATTTTCCCCTGTGGATTCTGGGGTGTCAGTTGCAACAGCTGTAGATAAAATCAAAAATCTACCTTGAGTTTGTGCCTGTCAGTGTGACGTTGGTCCTTCACCTCTGCTTCCCAGCACAGCCTGAGCTCACGTTGAGCACCAGAGGAAACATTGAAAGCTGAAGAAAGCACAGGCTGCATCAGGAGCAAGACTACATCAGCTACCACAATTTCTTTTTCTTTTCAATGCAGCAATCTGCCAGATGCTGTGTCCAGAGCCCTCGAAAACATGGGCAGAGTTTACGCCAGGATGGGCAAATTCCAGCAGGCTATTGATGTGTACGTAAGTGAGCAACAGCAAAGGCAGCAGGGGGGGGTTGAGTTAAACACCCTCAGTCTGGGGTGTTCACACTGCCAGCAAGGGGGGCTGGAACCCTTTGGTTGTAGAACCAGTGGTTGAAACTGTAACTGCATCCAGGGAGACTGGTAAACATCTGCCTTCCTTACTCTGCATGCAGCTGGAAGGACAAGATTCCAATGGCAAAATCCAGCCTGGAGAAGACCTGGCTGTTCCATGAGATTGGCCAGTGCTACCTCGAGCTGGGCAAAGCTAAAGCAGCCCAACATTATGGAAAGAAGTCCCTGCAGTCAGCAGATGAAGAGGGAGATGTCGAGTGGCAGCTCCATGCTACCATGCTAGTGGCACAAACACAAGGTAAAGGGTTAGCAGGGATGGAGCAGCCTCAGTGAGAACATCCCTGGGATTTAATAGCCACAGTAACTGTTCAGATCAGGGCCTCTCATCAGAGACTCGCCTGATTGACTATTGTTGTTCTCTTGATCTTGGGTTAAAATGGATCTTGTTTATCTGCTACAGTAAAATTAAAGGATTACTGGTCTGCAATACTGAACTTTGAAAAAGCACTTGAGAAGGCCAAGCTTGTGCACGATGAAGCTGCTGAGGAGGACATTGTTAAGGTAAGGGGGTTGTTGCAACGGGCAGCAGAGCTTGGGGCAGCATCAGGGAGGGAGCTGCAGCCATTGGCCAGTGTCCTGTGAGCTGAGAAAACGTCACCGTGCAGCTGGTGAGTTAAGAGGGGAAATGCAGCCTCTGAAGCAGTTTACATGCTAAAAGTCATGAAACTGGCTCAGAAAACTTAACCCCAGTTAATGAACCAGTCTGATGTTCAGGGTGAAGCCTGAGCCCTGCTCAGGGCAAGGGAAGGTTCTCTTTTGACCTCCCCTGGGCAAAGGTTTCACACAGAGAATTCAGTGGTGCCTCCTCGGCCTCAGTTGCTATCAGCTGCTGATCACAGCTCACCCTTTCTGGCCTCTCCAAAACGTTCCAGAGAAACTGCCTTGCATCAAATCACAGGATAACATCTGGGCTTGGCCAGTGACCCACAGCAGAGCAGCCTGCACGTTCTGGTAGCCAGCCCACACGTGGCTTGCACAGACACCTACCTATTGGGGATCCCTTGTGGGTGCCCAGGGCTCTGGCAGAGCCTCTGCTCCTGCCAGAAGGAAAACGACAGCGAGAGAGAGGTGGGATCTCCAGGGGAGGAGACATTTGATGAAGGACACTAACATGAAGGAGTCACTGCAGGGAGAAAGGAAGCATATTGTTGCAGAGAGTTCTGTGATAGGAAAGGATCAGGTAATGACAGTGGAGATCAAAAGAGAACAGGAGGAACTGAGGTATGTAACTGCATTTCTAGAGCTCAAGCTAACCAGCCCCATCGCTTTCAGGCCCTCGAGGAGGTGAGCAAAAGCTTCATCGAGGAGCTGGATGAAGGAGAAGAAGAAACATTGACTGACTTTCATAAAGGTAGTTGGCATTCAGACCTCTGCCCCCTGTAAATGCAGAAATTCTCCTTTTCTGGAGCACAGTCTGAGGCATGGGAACGCAGCACCCCAATTCCCAGGGAGCAAGCATCCAGATTTCTGGCCCATGCTGCATCCTCTGTACTAGCACACGGGAGCAGGAATTAATTTCTAGGTAGCTGTTTTGCCAATGACCAGGCCCAACAAAAATGGTAACCCCGGCAGGGAGATGAACCAATACACAGACTGTATTGTAGACAGAAATGTTACTATATGAATGACCGCCGGGGGTACAAACAGGTCAACAAGCTCAGACATGATCGACACCACCCCCAACGATCCCACAAACGACATGACCCGGCCCACAACAGGGGGTACAAACAGAGACCCGAGGGTGCCCACAGTTGGCATGGGAAACAGCCAGAGCAGCCAGTTAAACACGTAAGAAAAGGTGCCCACATGGCAACTCTCACCTGATCGACCCGCGTTTGCAAAGGCCTAAACAGACCAGGGCCCAGCTCCAGGAGAGTCAGGAGGTCTGCCCTGAACCAGGAAGCTCTGGGGAGTGCACTCCACAGACAGACACTCCTGACTCCCTGCCAGTGGTCCCAGCTTTTATCCCCAAGCAGACCCCTGACCTTTGTCAACTCACTGCAGGACCCCTGGGGCTCATTTCCCTTCTGGCTCTCCCTGCAGGGCCGGCCCCACCCTGGGGGGAAGCTCTAAGGCAAACTCACCCCTCTGTATGAAGGGCTGTGGGAATCACCCATATGGCAACCTTAATTCAGGGCTCAGGGTTCAAACCCCAGCATTTCAGTAGCCTAGTTACAACTTGTGGCTTCAGTGTTTTGGTAGTGAGCAGTTAATCTTGAACAGGTACAAAGCAAAGCAAGTGATGTCAGCGAAGCTTTGCTAGCAGTGAAGAGCCTGGTTTCACCTCTCAGTGCCAGCCATTTAAAAACACGCTTTTACTAACACTGAAAGCAGCTCCAGTGCCCAGGATGCAGAATGTGCCCAGGATGCAGTCAGAAGCAAAATGTGACTGTAAAAGCAGCTGAATAAATGAGATCCACAGTGCTGAGGCCTCCACAGCGTGGAATCAGCTGCACGTTAGAACCCACGCAGCATCGCTCGCTTGTGAGCAGCGGGTGAGGTCCCTGC